CCATCCGATCCCGAAACTCCCGGTCAACGGTAGCATTTTGCGGCGAAAGCAACAACGCCCGGCACGGTCCGTCCTGGCCTCTGACATTCCCTGACCTTTAGCGTGGCCGCTGCCGCCGGCCGCCGGCCACCGCAGTCAGGGGCAAACGGCCAGCGCCTGAAGCTCGCCGCGTAAAACCCACGCCGCTGGGGATGGGTGGCTTGGTGACGGGAACAAGGACTGGTTCGCATGTTGGCGATGGTGGTATGCTGGCCTGGGGTGTATGCGGTGTCCGACCGCGGCGGGTCGGGGCGAGCCCGGTCGGCACAGCGAGGCGCGCCGGTCTGACGCGGGGAGGACCGCCAGCCCGGCCGGCGCCGACGGCGTCCGGCCAGTGTACTCACGCCGGTATGGGGAACGGCTGGCTGGTGTACAGGGCGGCCGGTACGTTGCTGTCGTACGCCTGTACGCCGGGGTTTGTACTGCTGTCGGCCTCACGCACGCCGGTGGGGGGCGACTCGATCTGTGGACACACGGCACCACCGTCGACACCAGCCGCATACCAGACAGCGGCAGCGGTGCAGCACGGGGTGCAGGGCGGTCGGTCCACACGCAACACAGGGCTCCATCTTCGGCCTGGGCATGGACGCCGTGGCAGAAGAGTGCAAGGTGCAAGGTGGTGGTGAATTCGTTGTGGCAATGCTTCAGCCCAAGGCTCCACGGCTAAGACAACACACAACAGGAGTCCAGTTCGGTCGTTTGAGCTTTTTCGGGCTGGAACACCGTCGTTTATACGATCGGTCCAGGCCAAACAGACCCGACTTCGTTTGAGCAGGCTTAATCCGCTTGCTTCGACGTAACGAGCTGGTTCCCGGATTTGAATGTTGACAGTGCTGACGGAAGGCTGAGTATCTGATACCCTTATGTAACACCACTAAAGTATTGCATTAAGCGGCGGCAATATTGGCGCGGAAAAGCGCAAAAACGGCCTACTGTCCAGAGCGCGCCTGCAACGGTCACCTGAAAACCACATTCCTGCGCAGAAAACTTACTCGAAAGGACATTGCGGGGAATCAGCATTTCGAAGATCATATAGATGCGCGGGAAACATGGCATATCAAGTGTGTGAGGAGGCGTACCGATTCCCCATGCGACCACAATGAAACACTTCACTTTTTGCACTTTGCACACACAAGTGCTTTCACGGACCAGGCGACAGCGTGCGGGACCGTACGGACCGCACGACTCTGCGACGGCCGACGCAACGCCAGCCTGCGACTGGTCTCCAGCTGGCCGGTCAGCTCGCGCGAGCCCTGTCCTCGGACGGCGAGCACCTGTCACCAAAACGTCACCAAGTAGCCGCGAACACACAAACACCGCATGCCGCTGCCACAAGCATAGCGACGACCCCTCCCCCCCCCCCCCCCCCCCGAGAGGACCGAGGCGGCAGCTGCGTACCGACCGGCACGGACGGCAGGTGTCGCAATACGCGGGCGGAGGCGGAGGTGGACGCGGCTGTCCCCGAGGCCCCCTGCGAATAGCCGGCCACGCCGAACCCGATCATAGAGGACGGCCAAGGATGCCGCCGCGGCCGTGTGACCCCCACAGGAACAACCTCCCTCCCTCCCCCCCCCCCCCGGCACATACACACACTTGTCGTGACCTTGACCGGGACCCCACGGCCGACTGGCGGCACTCGTGGCCCAGACGTGCCGTGGCCAACTGGCATCGCTCCCGGCCGGCGTGCAGCTACCATCGACAGAGGATGACTCTGACCAGGACACCGCGCCACCCGCTGGCAGTGAGTGATTACTCACCGGGCTACGCCGTGCCATCACCAGTGCCCCCCAGTGGCGAGACGGCGGCCCACACGCACGCAGGTCGACGAAACCCCATCGCTTCTGTCGGTGGATCCTCACCCCAGCCCGACACCCGAGGCGTCGGTTACCTCACTCGCGGAAATCGACACGCCGGTGCTGAAGGGGCGGCGACCCAGAGAGACCGCCGGCGCCGCGCGCGACGCCGGCCGGACCCGGACGCGATGCAGCGGGCGGGCACAAAGCCCTCCCCCACCCCTTACTACCAGCGTAGCTAATCCCACCGCACAACTTTTCCGCAACATCCGGGATCAGCGCATCAGGTGGCAGCGGAGATCCCAGCGAGGAGACTCCAGTCGTGTCATCCGACCCACTGCCGCTCGGTCCGGCTGGCCCGTGACAGGCCAGGCGGCGGGCTTCCCCAGCCGCGCCAGCTTCCCGCGGAAGATTCCTCCCGCCGGTCTCGCGTGGATGGCACGGGTTTCCCGCCCACCGTGACACAGCCGCGCCACGCTGTGATGAGCTGTGACGTTTACTGAGAAACGTGCAGGAACGCTGCTTCCAAAAACGTAGGTAGCGTTCACTTCGTCAACGCTCCCTTTGAATGAAAAGTGACGCGCGGAACTGGACGTCCCAGGACTCGGCGCATACCAAGCAGCGTGCAACGACAACAGGCATGGCGTCCAACAGCGACGAACACCATCGAGTCTGTCGTTCGGTCGGCGCGCTGTCCGCGCCTGCGTGCCGGCCTCGGCCGCCGGCTCACCCTGTGCTCCTGCTGACTGGGCTGGCTGGTGGGCGTCTTGCCGCGCGCCTCGTCGGCGGCCGGCGCCGCGGCGCCGCGCACCGCCTCTTGCCGAGTGGCGTCTGCGACACGTCCTCGTCCCGCGCCGGCTCGTCCGGCGCCAGGCTTGAGCAGGAAGAGTGCGAGCGCGCCGAGCCGGGCCGGTGCCTGCCGGGGGGGGGGGGGGGGTGAGGTCAGGGGTAGGATCAAGGCGCCGCGGGCGGCATGACAGCTGCTCAATGAAGGCTGCTCAATGCAAGGCGTTCACGCTCGTTATGGCGTGTGCTGCTAGCGACCCCACAAGACTCGGGTTCACAGCAATCATGCGCCAAAAGAATGGCGATGACCCAACCAGAGAAATTCTGAGCCATCTCAACACATCAACGGTAACGTATGGCGACATTCAAACATCTGTACCACCAACGATCGCGTGTGCCTACACCACTATCGCAGTTGAACGTCTCCTTCGATGCCAGGAGTGCTGAAGTAATTGAGTCAATATCTGGGAGCCACACCAATAGCACAATGCCCCGTAGTCATAATCACGAGAGCAAGGACGCGTCACCAACACAAGCGCTTGTGACCAAACCAAAACGAAAACAATTCCTCCAACAGATAACCCTTCTCTTACTTTGGTACCGACCCAAAAACAGGATGATGCACCCCATTTCGGGACCTCGATGCCTAACGAAACACACAACTTTGAACGGCACAAGACAAGGCATCCCACCAAAATAGAACAGACATGTCACGCATCATCACAAGCACACCAAACGAACACCATTGCCCAGCGACAGCGCGCACATCACTAGCGATCAGCTGGTCTCCCCCTCCAGGCAGCCATCGGGGCGCGACCCGACTTACTTGCCTTGGCGCCGGCGGCGTCCTCCCGCTTGCCCTGCCTGCTGTGGCGGTCCGAGTCCCTCCGGCGCCTCTTCATGCCCGCCGGCGACACCCTCACCAGCGCGCGGCGGCCGCTCGCTGCGCGCCGCCCTCCCGCGCCGCGCGGGCGGCTGGCCGCCTCGTCGCGGCGGCGCCGCGCGGCCGCGTCGGCTCGTCGCGCGTCCGCTGCTGGGCAGCCTCCTCGCGCGCGGCCGGTGCGCGCCGGCGCCGCCTCCCCCCTGAGCCCCACTGCGCGGCGTCGCGTCGTGTGGCGTGACGCGCCCCGGTTCCGCTGCTGCGCAGCCTCCTCGCGCGGCTCGCCGGGCGGCGGCCGCGTCACAAGTCGCTTCTCGATGCGGCTAGCGCAGCACCGGCACGCCGCTCTGCCGGCTGAGCGGCGGCAGCGGCACGGCCGGCGCCGCCAGCACGGCCAGCCGCACGGCCGCTGCCGGCGGCTGGCGGCGGTGGCGCCGGCGCCGAAGCCACAGTCACAGGCGGTGCCGCGGCCGGGCGGCGCCGAAGCCGGCTGGCGGCGGTGGTGGCGCCGGTGAGGCTTGCCCCTTCGCTGCGCTCGCTGGAGGTGGTCGGCCGGGTCCGCGCGGCGTGCCCTCGCTTGCCGCTGATTCCGGCGTGAGACACAGACGGCTGAAGGTGGCCTTCTTGTTGGCGTCGCTGGTGCCCACGCCGCTGGCGTCCAGCTGGGTGGCGAGTCCCGAATCGGATCGAGTCCGAGTGGTGGGCGGCGGCCAGAACGCGGCTCTGGATCTTGGGCGGGCCTCCTCGTCGCTGCTGGCTGCCGGCTGCGGCGGGCGGCGGCGCGGCGCCGGCGCCGGGGCCTCGTCGTCCGAGGACGAGTCAGACGCCGTGCTCAGCAAGCTCGCGCGACTGGTACTGCGGCCTCGCGCGCGGCCGACGCCCGCGGCGCCGCCCGCCTCGCGCCCGCGGGCCGCCGGCGCGGGCCGCCTCCAACGCCGCCGGCGGCGGCCCCTTCGGCTGCCTTTGGTCGGCACGGACTGCGTCGCTGGCCGCGGGCGGGCGGCGGCGGCGGCGGCTTCTGAGCGGGGCCTGCTCCTCCTCCGAATCGCTGTCGCTGGCGGCTGCCGGCGGCGGCCCGCCGCGGCGAGGGCTTCAGCTTGACACGCGGCCGGCCGGGCCGCCGCGGCGGGCCGTCGAGCACGGCGGGCGGCGGCGCTCGCCGTTTGGGAGCGCTCCAGCTTCTCGCTGTCACTCTCGCTGAGCGCGGAGAGGCGCGGCCGCGGCCTCTTGCCGCCGGTGGTGGAGCGCACGCTGGCCGAGGCGGCCGGCTCGGCCGGCGGCGCGCACTCGTCCTCCGAGGACGAGGACGACTCCGACATCTCCATCGACACGGGCCCGTCCGACAGTGTGATGGAGTCGCATTTTTCCACCTGCAGGACAGCGGCGGCGTCAGGACAAGCCGCGACGACAGCAGTACGGAAGCGCAAGGACGTTGCCAGAGAGAAGGACGTTGCCAGACAGCTCACGCCCAGTGAATACGCATAGCACAATCCTGCTGTGTCCGTGACAAAATTGCATGATAAAATGAAGCGTTTAATTCATCACATTTGGGGAAATCAATATTAGAAGGACCAATTCATTATTCTGTACGGCTGATCGCTACATCAGACACCATCACACTTCTCATATCAAAACGTCGAGAGGCAGCGGACACCAGAGCTGTAACATCATGGCTCGGCTGTCGGGGAGGCGCCAAGCTGTCGCGGAACGCCAAAAAAGGTTTCCGTCAGTACCGGAGCGTTCAGATCAGGCCACTGGACTCCACGGGACGTCACACAAACAAAGACAAGCTCACGGCGGAAAAGCTGAGAAGCTGAGAAGAAGAATTTGGTGGCTCCCTGACGGTACGCCTGTCGCCACAGGGGCCAGTCTAAGCGATCTCCTTCCTACTCACAATGTGCACGAAGCGTGCGCAGTCGGCCAACTGTTGCGGAACTCCCCAGCGGCTCCGTCAGTTACGCACGCCCAGTCGCTCTAAACTCTCCGGCCAAACTTCTGCCGTCGGGGAGTGGGCCGTCCCGCCGCGGGCGCCGCGGGGCGCTGCGACGGTGCCGACGCCTCGGAACCAGGACAGACGGCGGCTCCGTGGCGTCGCTCGAGCAGCGCTGGGAGCCCGGCAGCGGCCACGTGGCGCCGCGAAGCCGCGGAGGAACGCCACCGTGGCGCCCCTCGGACCGCGTGTAACAGATCGGCTCGGTGGGAAGGCGGTCCCAGAGCTCCAGCCGAAAATCACGAGTGTGGGATACCCCGGGTCACACCTGGCGCTTCTCGCCAGATCGGCCCGCACATCTGCACACTGCATGCATTCCAACGACTTGCCCTGACGCCTTCCTCGAGCGCGCTCAGCTGTCGGCCAGGTCAGCCCTACCTCGCACGAGGACGCCAGCCTCCAACCACGCCGGCTGGCTCCCGACCTCCTCTCGCCACACGGAGAGCTTCCGCAGCTCGACCGCGACGACTCTGCGATCAATAGCACGGCGGCCGCCGCAGCCGTCCGGCCCAGTGTCCGGCCCAGTCCCCGTGTCGACTGTTTACGGGGCCATGATGAACGCACACTGGAAATTGCCCGCGGCGCAGCGGCAGGACATCTCGCGGCGTAAAAACAGCCGGCGACGGCCGGCTGCCGCCCGCGCCGCGCCGACGTCCAATCGAGTCGCACAAAGCGGCGCCGGCGGCGGCCACTTTTGGCGGCGTGCCGGGCGCGGCCGAACGGTCGGCCGACGGCGGCGCTCCATCTCCCGCCGAGTTGAGCGTTCGGTGCTTGCGCCTCGGCCCCGGCAATGCCAGGCCGGACTGACGGGACCGGCGGCCAGCGTGGGTATATAGCGGCAACGGGCGCGTCAAGGTCTACGGCGCAAGCTATGCGCTTGCAAAGGGGGGGGGGGGCCAGCGCGTGGAGTGATCATGAACATACTCATGATCACGTGGATTGGCTAATGGGGAGAATTACCCCGGCACAGAAAGTACCGTACATTGATCGATGTGGTTGGTTGCCATGGCAAACCCGCTCATGTGGCACGTGGAGCCGATGGCAAGGACAGAACGGCGCCTGCACACGCAGACCGCCCGTTCACCACCACTGGCTGGTTCCTTCCCGGATGACGCCGACTCATGACGCCGTCAGTGCGGCGGAGCAGCGCCGGCAGAGGGAGGTTCAAACGTCGGCAGGGGCCAGCACACTCTAGGAGCGCTCGGCGACTGTGCAGGGAGATCACCGGCGGTCAGGGGAGCTTGGCGGAGACAGGCGGAGATCAAAACGGGTCGGCAGATATCGGCAGAGGTCAGCAGAAGTCCGCCAACCATCGGGGGTTCAGCCGCGGCCCCTGTCCAGGGCCAGCAGATATCGGCGGAGGTCAGAAGTCCGCCAGCAACCGGAGGTCAGGCCGCGCCCTGTCCATGGTCAGCAGAGGTCGGCAGAGGTCAGAAGTCCGCCAGCCGCCGGAGGTCAGTCACGGCCCTGTCTAGGTCAGCAGAGGCCGGCGCCGGCCTCCTCACCTGCGAGACGAGCTCCTCGATCGAGATGTCGTCGCCGTGCCCGTTCAGATCCAGCGTCTCGGCGCTGCTCGGCCCGGCCGGCTCGCTGCTGTTGGGGAACTCGTGCGGCGACAGCTGGAACGGTCCGCGCGCGCATCAGCGCGTGGCTCGCCCGGCTGGGGTCACGAGCGAGTCACAGGGTCGCGTCAGCGCGTGGCTCGCCCGGCTGGGTCACGGGCGGGTCACAGGGTCGCATCAGCGCGTGGCTCGCCGGGCTGGGTCACGGGCGGGTCGCAGGGTCGCGTCAGCGCGTGGCTCGCCCGGCTGGGATCACGGGCGGGTCACAGGGTCGCGTCAGCGCGTGGCTCGCCCGGCTGGGTCACGGGCGGGTCACAGGGTCGCGCCAGGGCGCGGCGAGCGACGGGGCACCTTCACGCCAACCCACCGGTGGGGGCCGCCACCCGATCCCACGGCGCGGCGCACGTCGGCGCCGTGCGGCGGCCGTGAACGGCACGACAGGAGGACGCCGTGCTGTTTGGATACGGCGTGCGATCCTGACCGGCGTCACAGGACGTGGTTCTGGCCTCGGTGGTTGCGCCGGGACAATGCGGGCCCGGCGGTGTTAATTTTCGGGCTGTCACAATGTGCGTGGATTTGAGGGTCTCAAGGTGAGGCCTACGTGAGCAGGATGTAGCTCAATCACAGACTAAGTCAACAGGTCACCTAGTTGCGAAGAGGGTCACAGCGAACGGCGGTCAGGTTAGAAGGGCGTCGCAGGGTAGCGACTCTAGTCCAACCAATCCGTGATTGGTAGACTGTGGCAAAGGTCAGCATGCATAAATCACTAAGTTCAGGGAGCAGCTTTCCGTAACGTCAGGGGTTGACGACGAATATCCCAACCCATCACGCGTCTCAGCTCTCAGTTCACTTCACCCAGTTCAAAACAACGGGGTCACACTTGAACAAAATCCTGAGCTTGTCACTGGGAACATGGGCACTGACTGGCCCAAAGCCACAGACAAACTTTTGTTCCTGTGTTCGCGCATAACCGCTTCCCTGACATCGCAGCAGCTCAACCAATGCCGCGGTTGGGCCGCTCAGCCCGCCCACGCCACGCGCTGCCCAAAACGCGCCGACCGCCGGCGTGGCGACCGTCCGCCCCGGCGGCCGGCCGGCGGCGGCGCCACCGTCGGCGGCTACCTTGCGCGCCGGCGTGTCCTCGAAGATGGACGAGACGGGCGTGCCGGCCGGGTCCTTGTTCATGATGGAGCGCAGGCTCCACTTCACGCCCGCGTTCGCGCCCGGACTCTCCGAGCCCTCCTGGAACGGCAGGCGCGCGACGTCACGGATCGCGGGAACTCCGGCCGGCTCGGTCACCGCCGACACGACCGGGGGAGGGGAGCTCCGGGGAACGTGAGGGGAGGTCGGCGCACGTCGCCAAGACCGGCCACAGCGGCGATAGCCAGCAACGTCAATAAATAGACCGGTCACCACGACGTCACGGCTGCTGCTACCGACCCCGGTTTCGACTTCCCACACGCCAGCTCATGTGGCCAGTCCACCCACACCGGTCCAGTCACGCAGAAAAGAGACCGCAGGCGGTTAATCCTTGGCCAACGACTGCAAACTGGTGTCCTTGGGGCTTTTACGACGCACTCAATTGCTGAGGCTATATGGCGTCGCCTGTCTCCCACCCTGGCCGGAAGGGCGGGCACCGCAGGGAATCGAACCCCGCACCTCTGGTTTCCCAGACTGCAAACTGGTGACCGTCGGCGCTGCCTCACCATAGTCTAACACCGGCGCACATGGGGTTCGCTGTGGACCCACACAGAGCCCGTCTCCCGCTACCCTACCACAGCCGACCGCACCGCGCCGGCCGAACGAGAGCGGCACCGGTCGGCGCCCCGCGTTCGCAGCGGTTACAGTCTGGAGCGACGAGATACGGCGGCGGAGCGCACGAGGGCACGACAGAGTACGGCGGGCACGGCCGGCGCGGCGGCGTACAGCAGCGCCTGGCAGGGTACGGCAGGCTACAGAGTACATCGCGGGACAACAGGACACAGCGGGGTAAACCGGGTAAATCGAGCCCGCCAGGACGTCGCAAGACGCACGGGGTACGGCGGAGCGGGGCAAGGCAGGGCAGAGCGTTCTGGTGACCGGGGCGCGGCTCCTTCCGCCCGCGGACCGCCGTCAGGCACCGCAAGGCAGGCGGATGGTGTGCGGCCTATTCAACCTGGTGGGGCTATGCAGAATCGAGTTGCAGGCTGGAAATCGGCGAGTAATTTTCGTATAGCCTGGACGTGAGATGCAAAAATCGAGAAGTGAAGTGACCAAAGCTTATCGAATTAAATGTACAAAATTCCCGACGCATACCACAGCTATCATCTGCGACGTCACAATGTTACAGATGTATATTTTACTGCATGTCACAGCTCTCCAACGAGCACTACGCACCAGGTCATGCCATAAGGGTTACGCCACAGAAACGCTAATAGTGCAACGAACGTTACCGGCACGCGCCGAATGATGAACGTTGTGCCAATGATGAACGTTGCCGGCACGCAACGTCCCGAATGTAGCGAACCCGGCTGTTCATTTTCCCCTGATCCATCACTCCACCATTCGCGCGGCGGGTGCGGCGGACGCGGCGGGCGCAGCGGGCGCGGCAGGCGCCGCTGCCCGGCGCCCCACCGAGCGTCTGAGAGCGGCCCGTAGCGCCTAATGGCCGTCCCGTGCCCGGGCGCCGACCAACAGCGTGCGTCCGGCGCACGCCGCCGGGCAGCGGCCGGTCCGTGCAGAGGTCGCGTCGGGACGGTCGCGTCGGGACCGGGAACCGGATAACGATAGGTGGCTTGGAAACGGGACACAGGGACGACACACGCAGAGACAAGCCTCCAAAAACCACCGTTCAGCGCGGACATCTCGCACAAAAGCCGGCGGTCACAGCGATCACTTTTGGTTCGCACTGCGAATGACAGAGCAAACCATTGTTCCGCATAAAACAGTGCACACAGAGGCGGGGCGGGACCAGCTTCACACGGCAGGAGGGCGCGGAGCACGCCCCAGCAGCATGACCCGCAACTCCGACGACAGGATCGCTGCCGGCGGCATCGCCGGTAATGCGGTGGCGCAGGCCGCCCCCCCCCCCCCCCTCCCCCAACACGGGGGCTTCCGCGGCCGGCTCCGAAGAGCGCAGACGCCAACACCGAGCCCCCACCCCGGTTAACACGCAGGCCTGGGGAGGTGTGAGAGGCCGCCCGCACCAGCCGGGCAACGGCACACGGCCGAGCCGGCGAGACCAGGTCACTCGCCGGCTGAGACCAGGCTGAGACCAGGTCACTCGCCGGCTGAGACCGGGTTGAAACCAGGTCACTCGCCAGACAGAGGCGGCCCCGCCGGAGGCGACACAGTGACGTCACGACCGTGAGTCGTGACCAGTCCTGACAGCCAGACCGACGCAGCACGTAACTAAATAAGCCATGACTCGCGAAAATAGCGCTGGGCTACGTCACCAGCCGCGGTAAGAGCGGTGCTATCGCGGGCCGCTGACGTCACCCGGCTGACTCCGGCGCCGCGACAGCACACACACGTGCACACCACGACACACTCGTACACACGACACACGACACGCACGTGCACACCACGCCGTCGTAGGCATAACACACGCCGACACAACACCAGTCCCGTGGAGAACGGCGTACCTCTGGTGCTCGTCAGATCGGTGACCGGCCAGCAGACAGGCGCCAGTACGCCAGCGTCGTCACGCCGGCTGAGGGCCGTCCGACCTAACCGCGTGACGAGGCCCGCGCATCACACCGTCACGGAACGCTCGCCTCGCCGCGTCGCAGCTGGCGTGGAGGTTGCCGGCGACTGCGAACCCCTTACCTGGCCCGGCGCCCAGTGCCGTGCTCGTCCTGCGTCTCGATACCGTGACCTGGCCCGTGAACACCTCCACTCACCTTCCGCTCGGCCGGCGTGGTGGGCGGCGGAGGCTCGGGGCTGGGCACAGCGGCGCGCCGCTCGTCCGCCGACTCCTCCGACTCCGACTCCGAGTCCGAGTCGCTGGACGAGCCGCTGGAGGCCGCGCCCGGCCGCGCCGGGGCCGCCGTCCTCGCCGGCGCCGCCGGCGTCATGTTCGCCTCGCTCGCGGCCGCGGGCGACGGCCGGCTGTGGACATCCGAGCGCGACCGTCAGAGTTCCGGCCGGCCAGTGCGCGGCAGGGGCGACTCCGATCTCCCCCAGGCCTTCCACACATCGGGCGGATGATCGGTTCCAGCGCGGGCGCAAGGCGTCCGGCCGGCCGGCGGATCAGTGATTAATGGAGAATCAATGGGCGGCGCGCGACAGCTCGTTTCCTGCCGACGGAGGCGGGCAGAGGCAGATGGCAGACGATGAATGCGCACACTCGTAGCTTGTTATCGCTAAAAGCCGCCGGCGCCAACGCAACATCTGGCTGTGTAGAGCAAAAAAAACAAACCGACAACGGCCAAAAGTGAGCACCCGTACCACCTCACGATGACACAGCATTTACCAACGCTAAAATAAAACCACCAGAGGCAAGAGTCCCATGACGTTGACTGCAGACGAATGCCTGCTTCTAGGGAAATACGTCGCCAGACGGTCGCCAGGGCACGTGGGACCCAGCGACCCGGTGGCCGGCGCCGGAGACAGACAGACGCCGAGGCATTAACGCCTCCCTGGCTGGTCACTACTGACCAGACTGTCCGGCAGCCGAGCCGGAGAGGCTTCGTGCCCCATCCAGCCAGGCCGATCAATGCCACGTGGCTCGGGCGGCGCTGGCGCCTCGTGACGCTGCACGGGGAGAGCATATGCACCGCTGGGCGGGGCTGAATGGGACACCACACCCCCTGTCAGCCCCTCCCAGCCCCTCCCATGGCGGCCGCGCGCCGCCGGCCGACGCCACGCGACCCCACGGCCGGTCTCATACTACTTGTTACATGACTGGTGTCCCTTTACTCAGCCGCGGAACGCTTTGCCCGGCGTTCCGAAAAGACGCTGCCGACGCCCGCACCCTCCCCGAAATCGCGCCCCCCCCCCCTCCCTCTCGAGCAGCGTCGAGCCGCCCTCGTCGCGAACCCATCGGCCCGGATCGTAACCGCGGCAAGTAGCCGAACTGCGGCAGTGAGCGCGGAAACTTCTGCCGCCGGCCCAGCTGGGCCAGCGGCAGAGGCTGGGCTCACACAGGCGGTGAAGCTCTGTGCCTGCCTTCTTCTTCTAATAGCGTGTTGGACCCTTGTGCTGACCTTTCAGACTCATCCCAGCGATTCTCAAGAAGTAGTGTGGCATGCCTAATTAATCGGGGAAGCGGCCGTGTGCCCTATGCACCTACCACCCCCTCTCCTCATCGGAGTGGGGGGGGGGGGGGGCAGCCAGGCACTGTTCCTCTTGACCTCGCTGCAAGGTGCAGATCCAACGAAGCAAATCAAACTCCGCCGCTGGCCGCCCGGCACGCAGCAGCCGATGGCGCAGCGGTGACCGGGGAATGTCAGCAGGTCAGGTCAGGTCAGGTCACGGCATTTCCTCACCCGCCAAACGATCGTCACGTCACGGGTCGAATGCTGCAACCGAGATCAAGTTCACGAACGGCTCGCCTGGAGGATTAACCGCCACGGCACCGGCTGGTGGCCTGCTGGCGTGGCGGCGTCGGCGCGAGCTCCGCGCACGCCGGTCCATCCGCGCACTCCAGCGACGCGCGGTCTACGATCTGGCAACACGTCCCGAGCCACGGCGCAGGGGGCAGCGGCGACCCGTCACCAGCCCGGGCCGAGACACCGGCGGCCAAGTCAGCCCTGAGCGAAGCGGAGCATGCGCCCGCGGGAGACGGCGGCTGGCAACGGGCGGACCCGCACAGCGGCCTGCACAGGCCGAGCGCGCCGAGCGTCGGTCCCGACGGATTAGATTTGTCGACGGTGCCGGGCCGGGCGGAGAGCAGGCGGCTGAGGAGGCCGGGCACGTCACCCGACGTCGTAGCTCATCACGACGTCGACGTCCGCCGGCATCGCAGAAGGCCCGCCGCCGCGCGCGTCTGCGCACCGGCCCGGCGCGCGTCGACCGCCGCCGGGTGGCGGCTGACGCCAGCGAGGATCGCGCCCGGCCGCGGGCGGGAGCGTCACCGCCGGCCGGCTCTGGGCGAGCGGCGGCCAGACGAGAACGGCCGCGGGCAGGAGCGGAGCCGCCGGCCGGCCCTGGGCGAGCGGCGGCCATACGAGACTGGCCGGCTGGACCGATCGGCGCCGGACGGCGGCCGCCGGGCGCCATTACAAGCGGCGGCGGCTGACGCCACGGTCCGAGACGGGCTCAACCAGCCGCCGACAGCTGCCGAGCCGCCCATAGCGACAGACGCCCGTCCGCTGGCACTACTGGGCCGGCCCGCCCGCCGACAGCGGCGGCAGTCGACCGGTAAAACACACGGGCGGCAGCCGCCGTCCACTAGCCGCACATAACCCAGGCATGCGGCGCGCCTGGTACGGCCGGTCACGAGCTCCCAGCTGCGCCCGACCGAGGAAACTAACTGCCTCCTTCGGCAGCCAGGGACCGTTCAGCGCCCTTTATGACCGGAAATATGTCGGCGGGAGGAAGCCGCAGCGCGCGCGTCACTGATAGGAGAGTCGATGCTCGACCACTTTCAATGCCGCCGCGCTCCCCACCCCAACCCGCCCACTACCCACCCCCATCCCCCTCCCCTTCGCTCCCCCGGATCCGACGGAGCGTAGATGGCGCACGTGGCCGTCTGTACGCTGGCGAGTGGCAGCCAGGGACGCTGGACAGCTGACGGTCGGCTGGAGCGACGACACATCGCGTGCCGTCGACGGCGACGGGGACCTGTGCTGCGGCCCCTGCCCATGGCCTTCACGCTGCGACTAGCTATACCTGTCGTGTCCCACAGGACGTAATAGCATCTCGAGGCTGCTCAAGGCCCTTCCATATTCACACGAACCTTGACTCGGGTGGGCTTGTTTCCTTGGCCCTCCAAGTACGGTGAATCGGAGGCGTTTCGAGCAAGCGAAACTGGTCGCTGTAACACACTTATGGCGGGTAAACAAAGATCAATAACAATGGAGTCTGCTGTGACGCTTTGCGGAAAGGCCCGTGCCAACAGAAAGAAAGGGAGGTTTGTGTCTTCTTGTCGGCACTGACTTGCCGCAGACGAAACATTTCCATCATGTGAAAGGCGTCATCCAAGCCACAACACCCAGGCACCTGGCGCTTTCTCTACCTTCAACCACCTGCGACGTCGGCGTAGATAACGCCTAAACCCCACGTTAGGTCTCTAAGCCTTTCACCACTTTCTTAGCATCGCGCTGAATAAAATAACATCTTAGCACCGCTCTGCCCCAGGTCTACAGAGGATCTCACCGCTATGCCCCAGGTTTACAGACCATCTCACCGCCCTGCCCCAGGTCTACAGAGGATCTCACCGCTCTGCTCCAGACCTACGAAGGGTCCCATCGCTTTGTCCCAAACCTGTGCAGGACCCCACCGCTCTGCTTTAGACCTCGGGAAGAGCCAGAACTCTGCTCCAGACCTCGGGAGGAGCCGACATTCTGCTCCAGACCTCGGGAGGAGCCGACGCTCTGCTCCAGACCTCGGGAGGAGCCGACATTCTGCTCCAGACCTCGGGAGGAGCCGACGCTCTGCTCCAGACCTCGGGAGGAGCCGACACTCTGCTCCAGACCTCGGGAGGAGCCGACGCTCTGCTCCAGACCTCGGGAGGAGCCGACGCTCTGCTCCAGACCTCGGGAGGAGCCAGCGCTCTGCACCGGGCCGGGCGGCGGACCCCGCCGCTCTGTCCCGGGCCTCGGCAGGAGCGGCTGCCGCCCGGGCCGGCGGACGGCGATACATCTCGGCCGACACTAATTGACGGCGCGGCGTCATGTGCGAGCGCCGGCGAGCGGCACCGACGCCGACAGATGGACCAATCGCGAGGCTTAGCAGCGGCGGCGGCGGCGGCGGCGGCGGCGGCGGCGGCGGCAGCGGCGGCGGGCGCCCGGCGGGCTGGATGAATGCGGCGGCGGCGGCGGCGGCGGCGCGATTACGTGGGCATGGATGGACGACAGAACGCGGCGGCCGGGTAACGGCGGACACGCCGGCATTAGGGGCTCAGTGGCACTGCCAATCACACGGCGGGGGAGACACGGACACCATGCGATGGCTGCTCTCTTGCGTCGACTGCGTGCGTGTTGTGATTAGATGACATTGGCGTCGTGCGTGATAGCAAATCTACGCCCGAAGCCTGAAAAAATCAGACAACGCGTCGCGACATAGATGGTGCAACCCATACCACGCTCATCACGACGCTGGCAGGCGCGTGGGTGTACGGCTCCGCGCGCGGGTAGATCATCGTGCACCACGCACGCACGCACGCACGCACACATGCGTCACGCAACGCCAGCCGCTAGCGGACCGCCGCCGCCGCCGCGCCGCTGCATACGGCGCCGCACTCCAGCCGGATCAGAGCACTGGCTCGCGGTCCATCTCGCAGTCCCACAGCCATTCATCAGACCCATCTCGCAGTCCCACAGCCGCGCACTCGAACGGCGACGACCAGGTCGGCGGCGCGGCTGGGGGCGCGGCGGCCCGGCTGACCGGCCCGGCGGTGCCGACATCGGCCGGGCCGCCGCCTGGCGCCCGTCACTATCGGGACCTGTGATCGATTCGGACGGCCGCCGGCCGTTACGCAACGGCGGCGGCCGCGGACGGCTCCGGCGGCCGCAGCTTCGCATGGCTCGGCGGGAGCCGGCGCCGCCGAGGGTCACGAGCTTGGGAAGAGAGTCGTAGGGCCGTGGGAGCCCGGCGACAGGTGGGAGGACGCTTGGGAGACGGAAGTGGTAGGTGAGAGGATTGCGAGAGTCAGTATGGGGCGATGGGCTGGGGCTTCGCCAGTTGAGAGGCTTCTGATGCTGGGGCAGAGCGGTTACTCTGAGATGGAAGTCAAGACGTGAAATAGCCTGCGGCTCAGGCTGAGAAGATCGGGGAAAGCCTCCACACGTAAGGCGCTGAGAGCCAGCGGAACGCTGTGTGTGTGCGTGCGTGGGTGTGCGTATGTGTGTGTGTGTGCGTGTGTGTGATGAAGGCCGGGGAAGTTGGATGACCAAAGGCAGCTGGGAAGGTTTTGGGCAAATATTTGAGGAGGATGACGCTGGGCTACAACTGACACTTAGTTCGCTACAGGTTCCTGAAAACTCGTCGACACCGTGGAAACCTAAAGCGATGTCGCAGAAACGACCCCACAAAAAGTCCGGGCGGATTACCTCCGGCAGCAGAGGCCTCACTGCTGCGGAGCCCAGGGAAGCCGTACATGGTCCGTCATAGGGTGATGGGCGCTGCGACACCGCACGCAGACGGCAAGGTTGTCACGCGGCGTGCGGGTCAATATGGCTGTTTTGCTTCCTCTGAAACAATCCTTCCGGGTGACCGGCAGCACAGACTGGCAGGCGTCGTCTGCGTTCGCCTGCGTGTGTCCGCCTGCAGCGCCAGGCTGACAGTGTTTTGCCGTGCTTGCTGCGCAGCAGAGGACTTCGTGCTGGGCGCGGACAGACAGGTGCTGTGATATGCGAAGAAGGTCGGCGCGGTGCTCGGTCGGCCCCGGACAGCTGTCGGGCGGGGGGGGGGGGGGGGCGTGTCGGCAGGCGAACGGGCCGCCACGCCGCCCCATCGATCGGCGCCGGCCGCACCGTCGAGCTGGCAAATCACCAGCGCTGGGTGGCGGTGGCGGCGGCGGTGGCGGCGGTGCTGGCCGGCCGAGCTCGCCGCCGCCGCCGGGGCGCACGGAACCGACGACCGGCCCGCCAGGCTCGCGGGCGGTCAGGGCCGAGCCATGGCCACGGGAAGGAGCACGAGCATCGCCCGTTATCGCAGCCCTCAGCGCGCGGCTGGCCTTCGTGCGCCGTGTCCGGCCGGCCGAGAACCTCAACGATGCTCGCACGGCTTACGCGCGTCTATAGTTCGTGGCTTGTTGTGGCGATTGACGAAACATGTTCCAGTCACCGACGTCAATAACAGCCTACTGAGTGGGGGATTTATGATCCGCTTCGGAGCCCAGTCAAATTCATCGTGATTTGCAGACGAGACTTGGTTTTCAAGCGGCGAAGGCTTTGCTGGCAGATGGGCGCGAGACAATGGGAAGATTATGCGCGAGCGGTTGCCATTCGTAGCGCGTAAGTGCTTCGTACTTTCCATAAATCAGAAGATAAGCCTAAGCATCTCTTAACAACAAGAACTCCCAAAACATTCGCAAAGTGGACGAGAAAGTGGCCGTTATTAAGACGGAAGGCTACCGACGCGCAAAAAAAACTTGTCAGCATAACTAAAGGCTGAGGGAATCCAAACACGAGTGAGTCGGGTACTGCGCAAATTAGCTCACAAGCCACGTGTGGTTCTCAAATTGAGCTGGGCGCGCGTGTGGCGTGTCACACATGCGCGAGCCGCCACCGCCATTTGCGAGCTACACGCGTCGCACACACCATTCTGTCATCGTTCGAACCAGGCGAATTTGGACACCCAGCCTAAAATGTCATCGTCCGTAAGTCGGGCGTGTGTGATGATGGTTTGAGATTTTAGGGTGCATCAAATTTAGTCGACATCAAATGTCATATCGGGCCCGGTCTGGCGGGTCTCTCAAACTGGGAGCCATTCGTAGCGGCCGGTGACGCGGGCAGTCGCGTGTCGCGAGACGCTACCCGTCGCGTGCGGCGCCTCCCAGCCCGACCTCTGGCGGCCGCGCGGCGCGGGCGGCGCTAGCGTCGCGCCGGCGCCGGCTGCCGCCGCTACAGTCCGTGACGTCACGATTCGGGCGGCCCGTGCGGTCACGGCAAGCCGGCTGGAGCGCGGGTGCGGGGAGCTCAAGGACAAGGGCGCATGCCACCCCCAGCCGGCGGGCGGCGGAAGCCAGGCGTCACAGATCACCGGTGCCGGGCACACCGCCGAGCACCTCCGCCGCCGCATCGCTCCGAGCCGGCACGCGTGACGTCACGCCCAAAGGTCGTCGCTCGACCCGCAGGCGCCGCCCGCCGCGCCGCACGACTGAGACAAGACAGGACAAGCCGCGGCCCCGGGTCCGCACATTGGCGGGGTACCGGCGGAGGGCCGACGGCGCTGCGGCTCACGCGACGGCGAATGGCTGCCGGCGGCCGCGCCAGCTTCGCCGCAGACGCGGCAGCGGCCACCTCGCCCAGAGGGCCAAGGCGTCTCTGGCTCGCGCCGCGTGTGACACCCCAAGGGCGACCAGCGACTGACTGACGCCACATAGCGAAGAGGAAGCCACTCCGCGAAGCTCCCCTCTCACCGACTCAGGGCTCACGCCAGTAAGCCAGTCCCCGAAGCTCCCCTCCCACCGACTCAGGGCTCATGCCGGTGCGCCAGTCCCCGAAGCTCCCCTCTCACCGACTCGAGGCACACGCCAGGGCCCACAACGACCCACGTCCGACCGAGGGTCACGCACCCGGGCGGGGGCCGACCCGACCCCGCCCGGTCACGCAGCGGACGCGGGTCACGGGGAGCTGACCCGGCCGCCGGCAGGGGCCGAACGCAGCCGGCGCGCGCGACCCACTTCTCTCGCCGGAGCAAGGTTATCTCATGTCATCTGGCCGGTTCTCACCAGCCGTCGCGGTCAGCTTGCTCTGCGACCAGCCGAACCTGCGCGGTGTCGCCGAGCGAAATTCGGACACCGGAACAGCCGAATGCCTCGGCGGGCGGTACGTCCAAGCGTCAGCTGCACACAGGCCTTTAAGAAGTCTGCACAAACAAGGCCGATGATCACGGGCCTGGTAGACTGGATTTTCCGTGCCGCTGCTTTGTTTACGGCCGAAACTTTGCCGGCGCTTAGTTACGCACATCTCATTAACGAAGCTAATCTCGCAGCCGGCGAGCGCGGCGCCCCGCGGGGCTGCGCGGCGTCGCACCGCTACCGCGCTTACTCCTCCCCAACGAGGACCATATCATGCCACCTTCACCCTGCTGGCTCCAAAATGCTGCGGCCAAACATGGAAACAGCCCGGTACTGCAGAGCGGCATCAGTTCCCCGCCACCGGCTCAGATCACCGAAGGCCCCCCACGAAGGACGAGGCCGTCGAAGCCGAGACGGCGCCGCGATCCATCAGCGTCCACTAGCACTTCACCGGCCCTGCGGCGGCCGTCGAACCGGGGCGGGGTCGGCGGCCGCGGCACGTCACTCAGACGTCGACTCCGACGGCCCGGCCGCCGGCCGACGGAGCGCGCGGAGCCGGCCCCGGTCCTCGCGACAGCGACGAGAATATTCGCGTCGCGCGCAAACCGACACGGTTAACGGCGGTCGCATTCGCTTTCGTTTGGTTTAATACTGCCCACATGACGAGGAAGATGTCACCCAAAACAAATCAGACCACCCAAACAAATCAGAGCGACGGGCGTTCCCACTGCTGATCGTTAAAACAGTACAGCTTGGCATCACATCTGGAGGCAGCTCCTCCCCTTTCAAAACCACCCGTCCACGCTTTTCTGTATCTTCGCTGACGTCTCCCGCCTCCGCTGTGCCCCGCGGCAGCCTACCCAGCGCAGCGCCTTCACCTCGCGCGGGGCCGGCTTTCGCCACCGTGACGTCACCGACCGCAGCGCGTGGCCGGTGCCGGCAGCAGGCGGCTCGCACCTCACGGTCCGTCTCCACAACACGGCGCTGGCGGGGCGCGCTACGCGGGCCGTCCGTCAGCCGGAGCAGCGGCGCCGACAGGCCGACAGCGTGTCGTCGGCGCCGGCGCTGGCGGCGCACACACGTCCCCTGCGGGCCGTAGCCAGCGCCGGAGCGGCCGCCGTCCGCACGGCGCGAGGGGCGGAGGCAGCGCCGTCTTCTCTGCCCTTCAATTACCGGCACGAGCGTGTCCGGTCTTCCGCGAGCGGCTGTCGCCCCGGACGCGTGGCGCCGCCCAGCCGGCAGGCGGCCGTGCTCCCGGCGGCGGCGCGGCGGCAGCTTTCTCCGCGCGCGGCGCCGGCCGGCCGGTGTCGGTGTCCGTGACCACCGACGCCGTCGCCGCCGGGCCGGCCGACGCGGCTCCGACCCGCCGACCTTCCCAGCGGCGGCCGCTCGTCGACGGACGACCGGTCCCGCCGGCCGCCTCGCGCCCGTCAGCAAAGGTCAGGCGCCGTAGGTGCCGCGGGGGCGGCGGCAGCGGCGCGGACGATGGCGGGGGCGGCGGCGCGGCAGACCCCGCCGGGACGGCGATGAGCGCTGCCCGAGCGCGCGGCTTCGACGGCGCGGCTGCCGGGTCTCGCAGCAGCACGGGTGGGCAGCGGGAGAGGCCGGGTGGACGCCGGCCCCTGTCGCGGCTCACCGCCCGCAGTAGTGTGCAAGAGTCATCAGACCGACACATCTAATCCCCGCTTTCTCTGAACAGTCAGCCTGTCCTGGTTACCTCAGAATGTCCGTTTCCGCCTTCACTTTTCAGCGACTCGCACAAAGGACAATGCCAACTGAAGAGCACTCGATTTCTACTACCGCTCCCGTTAACGTGCCCTCTCCCCCCCCCCCCCCCCCGTAGAATACCCGACTGTGCCGAATGTTCAAAACTTACCGACATTGCACTCAGTCCCGGACAAAAACAGCCCAAACTCGGAAAGCAAACACAGCCGCACCTTATCTCCATCCCGCTCACACACATTATTTCAAACCAGTCGGCCGACGGACAAGCGCGTTTTTGTTGGATTAGCCCACGTCCGGCCCTTTATCGCACCACACACCGAACGAGAGTCGGGAAACCCGTATCTCTATGACGTCATCGCCCGCCGAGCGCGGCGGCGCAGTCTCGTTCGTCCGTGCAGGCGGCGGCACGGCCCAGCCCAGTTCCCGCCAGCGCAGCGGCCAAATTCGGGAAGACGCCGCCGCCGCCGCCGCCGCCGCCGCGACCGGACACGAGCCCCTTAGCCGGGTTACATCCGGGAGTCCAGAGTCAGCCAGAGTTACATCCGGGAGTCAGAGGCGGCTCACGGGGCTGTTCAGCCCAGCCGCAGCGCCTGGAACGCTGCAGCAGCAGCAGCGGCGGCCGAGGCGGCGTCAAGCAGCCGCGAACAGCAGCGGCGGCGCGCACGCCCGAGAAAAGAGCGCAGCATGTCCCGGCCGGCAGCGCGGCACACGCGTACTTCCCAGGTGCCTCTCCCGAGCAAGCACGATGGAGAAAGGGGGGGGGGGGTCGGCGCAAGCCAGCATCGCGCCCACACGCGCAGCTCGGGTTATTCCACAGCGGACGCGGCCTGCCGATGCGCCGGCTGATACGATGTGACGTGCCGCCCGCCAGACAATGCAAGGCCAGGCGGGCACGCGGCGCCGCGGTCTGGCCGGCGGCCGCAGGTCCGGCTCCGGCTCTCAGGCGCCCGCCGCCGGCAGGCGCTGATTGGCACTGAGGCTGTCGCTGAGTGGTAGGGCGTCACGGAGCTGACGGCCGCTGGCAAGTAGGAGTGTCGCCGCGGACTGTCTCCCGGCGTACTTGCATCGCCACTCCACATTCCGGCGTGGCCGCCTAATGGAACTTTCATCGCGCATTCATTAGAACTAACGGGCCAAACTAGATGGCGGGGTTCACGGTGTCCCAATTATCCCACATGCAGGGAACCCGGGTTCTGGACGAATGGACCAAACGGCAGCCTATGCTGGGTGCACTCAGTGCACCTGTGAGAGAGCAGAGATCGCCGCTGAACCATTAACGGGTCCACTGCTTCTTTTCCTCGCGTCATTTCGCTGCAGCAGCGGGTCGGCAATTTCCTGTTGCCACCACGTTGGCATGCAGATGTCAGCGGTCACGTCGGCGTTCCCCACGCGGGGAGCCCGAGCACACCCTATCACCCCCCCCCCCCCCCCTCCTCCACTCTCCCTCACAGTGCCCGATCGCCGGCGGGCGCGGCGGGCCGACTCGCGCCATTCATCGCCGGGCACCTCCGCGTCCGGAGGTTGATTTATTGCGGCAGATGTTCGACGGCAGCGGGCCGGCCAGCGGTCGAAACACGAGCTCATCCCGGCGGGCCGGCGCCCGAGCGACCGGACCGGCGCGCTCAGCCTCGGCCGGGTACGTCCGGTCGCCGGGGTGTCTGAACCAGACTGGAGTGACATCTCGAAGCCACCGAGAGCATCGATGACATGACCGCAACAGCAGCGGGGCGTGTCAGAGTGTCTTGCATACACGGGCGCCATGTTCCTATGCAATGCGATATTCCTTCCGGCTGCCAACCACCGGCGGCAAGTCTTCTGCCGGCCAGACACCGTCACCGGTCAGCCGCCCTTCTCAGAGATCACGGCCAGGTCCATTCATCACGCCATTAGTGTGTCGGGGCCCGAGCCAACCGCCGCATAACTCACGTTCAACAGCTGGGGCCGTGCCGACAGCTGAGCGGCGACTCCGTAATGGCCCCGACCCGGCCATCCCGACCCACCCTCGACCCCGCCGAGCCGACCTGACCCTGAATCCCGCCGACCCACCCCTGAACTCCGCCGATCCAGTCCTGAGCCCCCGCCAACCCACCGTTGAACCCCGCCGACCCACCCCTGAACTCCGCCGATCCAGTCCTGAGCCCCCGCCAACCCACCGTTGAACCCCGCCGACCCAGTCCTTGAATCCAACTGCTCGGCTTAAAGAGGTGCACCAGCGACACCGAACCAAGTGTGACTATCGGCTTCCGGGAAAGGGTCAAAAGATTGTTAATATATTAATTAATGTAATGTATAATATAAGACGTTAATATATATATATATATATATATATATATATATATATATATATATCCCGACCAGCGTAGCTGGTGTGACGTAAAAACAGCGTCACCATTTCACCGGATGCCTGTCGCGCCAACGCCGGCCAACACGCACCCAATGCGCACGGTTCTAGCTCGGTCCTCGCGACCCCAGGAACGAACTGCCCCAGATCTGACCCCTCCTTACGCCACGCCAGCCGTCTGTCGCTGGGCCGCGCTCCGGCAAGCTGCAGACACCGCTCCCCCACCCGTACCCCGTGACCCCGACTGACCTGGAGCGGTCCGAGTGGCGGCCGCTGCTCCGTCCGGACGGGGGCGCCGGCGCCGGCGGCGGCGGCCGGTCGACGGCCGGCTTCTGCACCGCCGCCTCGTCGTCGCTGTCCTCAGACAGCGTCAGGTCATCCGACAGGGAGCTGCAACGGCGACGGCGGCGTCATCGACGGCGTCCACAGCGCGGCAGCAGCACGGCGGCGAGGCGGCCATCGGCGCAGACCCCGCCGCCAGAGCCGCGCCCGGGGGGCGGCAGCGGAGCATCCGGCCCCGACATCGCAGACGCTGCGCGGCCGATGCAGCGCCGGCCGAGACGGCGGCGAGAGCCGGGCTTCGAGAGCGGACCAGAGGAGGAGCACAGCCGCCCACGTCCGTCACGGGAGAATGGTGACGGGCCCGACACCGGGCCACTGGAGTCGGCACGCCTGAGCGGAGACGTCGCCTACGATTGGACGACAGATGCAGGAAGACAGGTGCAGGAACAGTTGACAGGCGTAGATGAAAGCCGCGGCGTCCGAAGGGGTGACGCCATAGCTGTGTCCCTGAGTGAAAATGTTGGCGGGGGTTGGCGAGGGTTGGCAAGGGTTGGCAGATGCCATAGGGATGGCATGGAAGGTTGGCAGAGACGTCAGGGCGGTGAAGAGCCACATCAAGGGTTCCGGGAGGTCATAGATGAGACGGCTACAGTGGCCACCTGTGTTACTAGGGCGGAATGGGGGGGGGGGGGGATGGCGGTCAGGGCAAGGGCCAATTTCCAGGCGCCTGGCGTCTCCCCGACGACTGGGCAGACTGCTTACAGTATAACGGCGGCCAGAAGCATCACGAACTGGCAACCACCAAACATCGAGGCCCTCTGTCGGGCTCCTTGACCGATAACAGCAGGTTCGCCGGGAGGCGGCGCCCCCAGTCGGTCTAGGGAGGTGCACGCTGGCGTCCGTCCGAGCCCCACTGCAGCCTGACTCATAGCTGTCGGCACCAGCCGCCTGCGCCCCGCGCGCTCGTCTGCCACCGAAGATGGGCTCCCCGGGTGGCCAGCCGGGTCACAAGCGCCTCCATGTGCCCATACTTTAAAAATAGATATGGGATGTTTGTGTATCTGACTACTGGACCGCGAGCCCCGCTGCTCTGCAGGACTCAGCGTCTGGCTGTAAATAGCAAACGCTGTCAAGGATCTTGCAAGCTCCGAAACAACACCCCGCTGAAAATGGTGGCGATAATATCACAGGAGTCAGGAGTCAGGAGTCAGGGGTCAGGACTCACAGGCTCGACCAAACACTTCGTCAATGAGTTGTCACCGGTTCACGCTGCGCATGCCATTTCGCACACGATTTCATCGCACCCGACCCCATGGACCCCACGTACATGTCTGAACCCACAGCTCTCACACACCCCGGCGCCGCCGCCGACGATAGTCAGTGGCGGCGCAACACTCACGGTTTGGCTCCCGACGACGCCGGCGGCCCGGCCGGGCAGCGCTGCCGGCGGCGGCGGCGGGCGGAGGCGGCGGTGGCGGCGGCGGCTGTCGGATGCGTCGCCGCTCCTCCTCCCGCGGCGTGGACTCGCGCGAACTCGCTGAAACGAGCGTCACCTTCGCCGTGAACGAGCCCGGGCCGTGTTCACGCACCCGCCAGCGCCCCGAGCGTCCCATCGTCGACGAGCGTGCGTCGCACGCTGTCACCAGCTCATCGCGCTCGCCAACACAGCCGCCAGGCGCCGGCCGGCCACCGCCACGTCGCAAAAGTTAAAAAATCAATGGTTGCTCGGCTTCGTAACCACTGAAAGCCCCGTGAACAGGTTAACTGCGCACCGCCTCAGGCGGCGGCGGCGGCGTCCGCAGGTGCGCCGTCCACCGCCCGGTCACCGGGGCAACGGGCAGTGCTGATCGTGAACGCGCTGCACCTGTGCGCGCCCTTCCCCGCCCCCGGGGGTGCAACACGGTGTCACAGCGTGAACACTGGGGTGTGCATGGGAGGACACTGGGCGCTGCGGATGTCAAGGCCAAGCTCGACCTCGGTCAGCAACCCGATCTTCACGGCTGGGAAGTGTCAGATGTTTTGAGACAGCAAATATGGCCATGCCATAAATGCTATGCCAACCTTGCGGTAGTCCACAATAAAAAATGTCCCACAAGCACTGTAGGTGCCAGCATGGACACGTCCCGAACGTGCCGTCAGGGATCATCGGGGCCAGTCCCAAGGCTCACGACGCAGACCAACAATAGCCGCATCACCGAAATCGGTAGCCCTCGCTCCTCTCAGCAGCGCTGCTGCTAAGGCAGCCGGGCCGGGCCTGGCCAGGCCGGGGCCGCCCCATCGCGTCACGTTCCTTTTCCAGCCAACATCAACACGGCAGGCACCCCATCCTCGGCCACAGCCCAGTGCTCAGGCAATGCAACCCGATCCCTAAGTGTTGAGACGCTGGACCGCCCATCCGCCCACCCCGTGACCCCGGCCTGCTCTACCCACACGACTCCTGTGATCCAAGGACACGAACACACGGGGACAACATCCGGACAACATCCGGATAGCTTCGCCAGCACCGACAGTTTTCTGCCCCCCCCCCCCCCCTCTAACCTCAATAAGACGTCGGTACCAGCACCCCCGTGTCGACCACAGGTCAAGTCACGGCGGCTGGCAGACCATGCCCACACCATGGCCCCCCGCGCCGCGGCCCCTGGCGAGATCGGCAGCGCCCGTGCGGAGCTGGCCACCCGGCCGCTGCCGTCGTCGCGACAGCGGTCGCACGGGCGCGCGCCGCTCGTGGCTTCGGGGCACACCGAGCGACGGTCCGGCTGCTGTCGACGTCAGCACCGCCGCCGGCCGAGGTGGGGCTGAACGCCCCCCCCCCCCCCCCCCCAACTGACCGCCGGTGTGGCGAACTATACAGCTGGACGGACGGGAGGGGGGGGGGGGGGGGGGCTACAGGCGTGAGGGGGCTTTCCGGGCTCTTTACAGAACTCCAGCCCTACCTATCCTGATCTCTCAGCCACGAAGCGAGGCGCGCCAAAGGTCACCGGGTTACGGGAGGTGCAGTTTGCCGTTTGCCGTCTAGTTTGGGTTCACCACACGGCGCCCGTTCGGCCCCCCCCCCCCCCACTCTAACTCCACCTCCCCACACCAATGACCTCCCAAAATGATGACGCGAAACTGCACCGGTGCCTACAGGCGTCATGACATCGCCGGCGGCGGCCGAGACAGGGCGCAGCGTCGTGCCCGAGAGACGTGTACACCGCCGGCCCACGGCAGCGTGTATCCGCGGTGTGACGGGCTGCCACCGTGGAAAGCCAGCAGCGGGCCTCGAGAGTTCGTGGAATAGCCCCCGGGGAGAAGTCGTAGGGTACGCGACGCGACGCGACCCCGATTTCCGGCGCCGCGCTGCTGATATCAGGAGCGAGCACGGGTATAGCCTTCTTTTCTGTTAGGCGACGCTGGAGCCTCCCAACTTTGAGAAGTAAGTGAGCCACGTTGGGAGAATGCCGTTTTTAGGTCATCCGACGGGTGGGTGACCATTTTCCGTGCCAAGCCGCTCAACTCGTTTTGTGAAATTACAACCCCAGGCGCGAAGGCGCTCCACAAGGTGCCCCGACAGCGCCGCAGAAATACAAGGCTGAGTTGGGCAACGGCAGCCTGATCCGGTTCGAGGTGTATTGATGTAAGCCTGCTTTGATCCGAAGCCAGACCTATGCACTCACTGCTTTCACACATCAAAGTGCGCATTTGAGACAGATTGGCAGGTCCTGTGGTTATGCGCTCCCCGTCGGCACTACTCCCTTCACGCCCTCTCCGAACGCACGAACGTGGCGGCACCACCCCACTTAGCTTGCCACGCGTCTGGCAAACGTGAAGCGACGTAGTTCACTCCCCAATCACTCGCACAGCTAAAGACGGTCGTTGGGCCGGCGTGATGGGCCACTCTTCAGCCGGCGGCCTCGGCGCCAACACCCAGCACGTCCTGTGGCCAGCAGCGCTTATGCCAGTGGCGTGGCGTGCGGCGGCGAACGGCCGGCTGCCGTCACCGGACGGTCCCACCGCCCCGCCTCAGACGCAGGTCAAAACACGGCGGCAGTGACCTGCCCCGTCAGCCGGGGATGAGGTGGTGAGCGGCCGGCTGCCGTCACCGGACGGTCCCACCGCCCCGCCTCAGACGCAGGTCAGGACACGGCAGCAGTGACCTGCCCCGTCAGCCGGTCCCCGTGCTCTCCATCATGATCACTAGACTCTCAATGACATCGTGTCGGAGATTGAAGTTATTTTAAGTTTATTTTAAGTTCAAGATTGAAGCTATTTTAAGTTACATTATTGAAGTTAATCACGTGCGCCGCCTTTCGACCGCACGTCGTCGTAGCTCATGCCTACCGAGAAACACTCCTGCCTCGAAATCGATGATGCTCCCGAGAATCGCCCTGCCATCATTCCCAGGCCGTTCTTGGCCACCCTGCAGCGAGCGTTCAGCTGCCCGCGCAGCTAAACGCCCCCTGGTGCAGTAGGTCAGTGACCCGCCACCGGCCGAGGCGCCACTCGCCGGTACACTCGCACTATGGTCTGTGTGGACCCAGCCGTAATGCCACGGAGACGTCCTCGCAGCGTTAGCACGGCGCCTCTGACGGGCCCCGCACCCATCCCGCTGGACCGGCAGCTCGCGAGCCCGCGCGACGGACAAACGGAAATGCCCGGCGAGCTGCCGCGCCGCTCCGGTGGGCCGGTGACACGTAGCCGTCCGGCGTTCGTGCAGGCGGAGGAGCGCCCGGCGGCGGCGGCGGCGGCCACTCGGACGTGCAGCGGTTTTTAACCGGCCGCAGCCGACCCGCGCGCCGCAAACACGCGACCACGCCGCCCCTGCGCCGAGCACGGCACGTCTCTGCTGAGCTGCGCCTCAGCGTCTCCACCGCCGTGACGGTGAGGCCGGTGAACGCCGCCGCCGGCACCGGGCCGGAGCGACTCCTCCGATCGCGCCGGGCCTAACTCCGCCAACCCGGCCCGCCGCGGGCCGGCACGTGGCTCACACGGAAACCCGGCCGCCGCGTGCGCACAGAGGGCAGTCGGCGTGGGCACGACACCACGTGCCCGCGGGACACGCCACGCGACGTCGCTGAGCTGGTCCGAGTCCGCCGCGCGGGGTTAACGCGCGCCGGGCGGCTCAACGGCACAGCGCTGCTGCCAACACAATGCCTGAATTTCTCAGATGGCGGTTCGCCGCGTCGGAGAATTGGCGGTCAAATACAGCGTCGGCGGAGCACATAAAAATAAACTAAAAGAAACTGTTTGACGACATGCAGACATCTCAGTCGTGCCTAATCTGATGAATTTGGGGCGCTTCTTACCATGAGCATCTGATGTGTGATGAAGCGGGGTGATAGGAGCTTCCTGAAAGCAAAAAGAGACACGAGTAAACACACATCCACGCCACAGCTGGCTTCAGCGCCACGAGTAACACAAAACAAACACCCTCCCGCTGCGCCGCCGGGGCCTCGCCGCAGAGCGGGGCGATCCGCACCGCACGGGTCGGCCCCCCCCCCCCCCCCCCCGTCCTCAGCGCACCTTCCATCGTGGGGGACACCTCCGAGACCTCGCCGCGCGGCCTCGTCGGAGCAGCGGTACCGTGCCGCCTGCATAGCGTGGCCTTTGAGCGGAGGACCGGCGACCGGACAGGCGCCGTTGTACCCCTGGCGGCGCCGTTGTACCCGTGGCGGGCGCCGTTGTACCCCTGGCCGGCACCGCTGTACCCCTGGCCGGCGCCGGTGCACCCTTCGCTGTGCAGCGCCGCTGGGCCCGGCCCTGCGGCGGTGCTGCATCAGCCGGGGCGGCCGGGTGGCGCCGACGGCGAACGATCAGGCGCCGGTCGAACGGCGGCAAAAACGGCGCAGCGCCATCAGCCGCTGCCCGGTCCGGCGCGCATGCCAATGTCGGTAATTCGATTGGCGGCAGTTTTTATGCACGACTTGGAGAATGGAGGATGGATTGACGTTTCCGCTCCGCTCTCGCCACCGTCTCCGTCTCCGTCTCCGTCTCTCGTCTAACGGCTCCGGCTCCGGCTCCGTCACTGTCTCCGTCCCGTTGCCGTCTCCCCGCCTGCCGCCCTCCCTCTCCCGCGACCCTGACGGCCAGCCATGTTCCACAGCCAGCACTAAGCCGATCAGTGCGGCCACCAAACCCGTTTACAACTTTCACTTACGGCGGCCGGGCGGCCGGCCAGGCCTGCATCAGCCCTTTCAGAGCTCGACAGGTTAGGCGCGCCAGACGGAGCGCGCCGCCTGTGTCGGTACCCCCCGCCCCCCCCCCCCCCCCCCTCACGCTACGGTATTACGTCGCGCGTGCACATGACTTTCACATGGGCGACACGTCCGCAGGCGGCGGGGCCTCCGTTTCACGACAACGGCGGCACGGGCCCCACGCGCGAGCGGCCGCCGCACCCAGAGCGCGCGCGCGGGGCCCACCCGGCCGCCTCCCCGCCCGCCGCCCGCTCCGCAGGCCGAGCCGTGCGGCCGGCCTCGTTCGCAGCCGGCGCGGCCAAGCGAGCGAGCCGCGCGCGTTTCAGGCGGTCCGCGGACGGCCGTCGTAAAGGGCGCGTAACGACGGCGTTCAGCGGCGCATTATCGCCGCTGCAAACACGGCCGGCCACGCGGCCGTCAACACGCCGCGGTGGCGAGGAGGCCCGAGCCCGGGCCGCCGCGGCCTGCCAGACAGCGAGGCCTCGTCGCCGGACGGGTGCAGTGCTGGCTGATGCGGAATGTAGAGCCCAGATGTATCCCGCGGGCTCCGCATCATGTGTTTACAGGGTGGGCATTTTTGGACAACAATAGAGCATTTGCCAGTGCGCTATCCCAGCCGTCGCCGCTGCTGAGTCCCGCATAGGCAGGCTCACGGGGTAAACCACAGGCCCGACGCTCACAGCGAACTCCCTACCGCGACGAAAACCTGTCGCGGCCGCTCCCAGGCCCAAATCCACGACCCGGGGATGGTGGGGTCAGGACCACCGTGCTAAGCGCCTGCCCCGTCCGAGTCCCAGGCATCGCTTCTGCACGGCCAGCGCAGCCCATTACCGAAGCCCAGCGCCGACTGGACGACGTGAGCTTCCCAAGGCTGCAGTTCGTGCGGCTGCATAATGCGCTTGGCTCGGGCCAACAGTGACCAGAGCGCGCCTACTTCCTCGCTGGCCTGTGTTGCTCGGAGAAGCGTGGGAATGCTGCGAGAAGTAGCGAAGCAAATTCAATTGCTACTCACGTTTTCCATGTACGCCACAGCTGTTCAGCTAAGAAGTTAAGTTAAGCTTCTATAAAAAGTCACTTAAGTCACTGTCAAGCTTCTATGAAATGAAGCGGGACATTGCCCGTTAGCTTCCTGTCACTGCGCCATTTTGGCTTAGTGGAATCAGCCCATTCCTTCACGCAATCCAGAGCATTGAGCTCTTTCCAGAAGTGGCAGCTGCGTGCGCAGGGGTTCGCTGCCTCCAACCCCTCCCCAACTACATCCGGCCTCACCTCCTTGGCGGCGGTCTGATTCCCCCCCCCCCCCCCTCCCCACATCAACTACACACGAGCCTACATCGCCTGCGGCGGTCGGCGCCTGAAGCGCAGTCCAACGCGGTGCGTGCGGGAGCGACCGACCGATCGGGCCGCGGGCAAACGGCGCGCGGCCGGCGACGCCGCCCGCCTCATCAGCCGGCCGACACGAGCCAGCGGCCGCGTGCGCCCGATCTCGGCCGGACGCCGGCCGCGTGCGGTCAATCACGGCCGCCGCACGGGCGTGCACGGGCGCCGCACGCGCCCCACAGCGGCCGTCCGGCCTCCCCAATCGCGAAGCAGGGCCGGCCATCACGCAGCGCCGAGGCCGAGGCGGCCGGCCGCTCTCCGCGTGGGGAGGAGGCAGCGCGGCGAGGTCCGCGCGACCCCGGCCGCGGCCGATGGGAAACGGGGCAGCGGCGCCCGAGGGAGATACGTGCCGCTGCTGGGACCGTCGGCGGCCGGGCCGCCTCGGCTCTCACGGCCGAGCCCACCGACTGGACGATAACACCGCGCCAGCTGCACGGCACCCACGCCAGGGGCATTAAACACGCTGAAGTGGTCCTCAGCGGCCAGCGTCGCTACCGTTAACAGTTTCGCCCGTCGTTCTGCAAGTCCAAATCGTCGTTCGCGAAAGCGCCGTCCCACAGAGGAGACGGCGGAAGCGACCGCGACGACCCTCGTCACCTGCGGCCAATGGCGATTGCGCAACCCTGTCGTCAGCAAAACGGCCTCATCCTGCGCATCTTCCAGACTAGACGCGCTAGTCCGGGCGGCACGCAGGCGGGCGGCGCGCCAGTCAGGGGGCGGTGCGCAGCGGTCGCGGTCCGCGGAGCCCGGCAGGGTCCATCGGAGCACATCAAGGGTGAGATGGAAGCCAAACGGAGCAGCCAGGCCACGATGGAAGACCGACGGGGCCCGACTAAAACGATGAATCCCGATGGGGGACCGATAGAGCCCGATGGAGCGCGACGCGAGGCCGATGTAGTACGACGTGAGCCCAATCAAATTCGATGAGCTCTGGACGGCTGTCCAGTCGCCCCGGATGGTGGTGGCCGTAGTCACGTCGCGCGGACCAACCCGCCGACAGCGGCGGCGGCGGCGGCTTCCTGACGCTTCGCTTTTCGGAGGCGGCTGCAGCCGCTCACGACAACCCGCCATGCACGACCGCCGCCACGTTCTTCAGCCAAAATCGATACGTAAAATTCAGCGGCGCACCACCTCTCTCGCCGCCGCTGCCGCTGCCCAGCCGTCAATCGCGGCCAGATTGCGCCTGGTTGCCGAGCCGGGCACGAGATGGCAGCAGCGGCGTCGCACGGGTCGGTCCCACCAGGTGCCGATCGCCCGCCCGCCCCTGGACGGGCGGGCGCTGGGACGGCGAAGCCGCGGCCGGCCGGGCGGCCGACAGGCTCAGCTCGTCTGGTCGGCCCGCAGACGCGACGGTAACATATTCAGGCTAATCCGTTCGGCGATGAGGGCGTAAGGATTCGCACCCGGGAGCGGTGCTGATCCGCCCACGCGACCGGTGCCGGCCCATTGCGGGGTGGCTGCGGCCGCACCGCGGTGTTCAGACAGGCTAATCCGGCGGCGCTCAGGTGCGGGGGCCATGTCGCTTTCGCGGCGTGTCGGTGAGATTACCGCAAACGGGCTGCGGCGCCCGATCTCTGAGTTGTTTGACAAACTGCGACCGTCAAAATGTCTGGCGTCGGCCAGCCGGGAGCCTGGCGCTTCAGGTCGCTGGTTTCGAGCGGACGAAGTGAGACGGGACGCGCCCAAAGCAGTCGGCACAGCCCCAGTGAATGCGCACGCTAAGCCCAACACCACCAATTTGTCATATGCATTATCACCATAAGAAACAAGAGCAAATGAAGTAAGTGGGGTGACCCGACCCGACCCTTTCCCACCTGATGAGGTAAAAAAACCCTTCGCAGCAAACTTGCACGCCAGTTTCCGGTGTACGCTTCGCCGGAGGTACTCTCGCACGCCACCTGGCGGCTTTATGACGCCCACTGTGTTTGAACGGGAAAATTATTAAAATTCAGCACAAATAAGGCCCCTACGATTAAATCTTCCGCCTACAGCCGAGAAAATTACCCCCTCATTCGCGCTTTTCGACATTTAACACTCACGATGGGCTCAAGATACGCCGACGAAGCGGAACGAAGGCCTGACCTGACACTGTGGTCTCAACAGGCGGGCATTCCCCCGCACGCTTCACGCGCCTCGCCAACTCTTTTCAGCGTGGCCGTGGGAGCGGCGCACAGCGCGAGACGCAGCCAGGCGTGCAGCTTCGCAATGCCCGCGCCGCCACTGAGCCCCACTTTGGCCCGCGTTTCGGAAAACAGCTGTAAAAACTGACAGGCCGCAGTGTGACTGCCGGCCGGCCGGGAGTCAGCCGTAAAGTCGGCCGCGGCGCAGCGTCGCACCGCCCGGTCGGCGACGCTCCGCTGCTGCCTGGTCACCATGACGACAGCAATCATTTCTCCCGAGCGAACGAGCCCTGGCCACAGCGCGAGACCACCAAAATCCGGGGCACCTCCACTTCCGGAGAAACGCCAGCGCGCGCCTGGCCGCGAGAATGGCAGAGCGGTTGGAGACGCGCGAGTGGCCGTCTGGCTGCATCCAGCGACTTCAGAGAGGAGGCATGCCACTGCTGGAGCACGTGAACAGACGTGCTCTCCGTCGGCCAGACGCTGCAGCGCTGTCGCCGACAACGTCGCTGCGGCCGCCCGTTCAGGGTCGCCGCCGGGCAAAATCATTAGGCTGCCCGGACAGTGTGAAATTGTGTTATCTAGCGCGCCCGCTCACGCACGCCAACGAAGCTGCCGTGGTCTCCGCAGCGCCGGGCCACTACGCCACCGAGGCAAGTCTGTCGGGCATAATAGCTGGGGCACGCCGCGTGAACGCGCCTGCAGTACGGCGCGCGACAAAGGGGACGCTCGGCTTCGCGTGCGCGCCGGCACAAACACGGCAGTTACGAACCACAACAAACTGAACAGGTTGCACACCGCGCCTCAAAACAGGCCCGACACGAGCCTGCCGGCCAAGTGGTACGCAGCGCCACACCCCATCGGCGGTGCACGCCAAAATAGCGTGGCCAGACGGCGTTTTTGTGCCGCGCAAGGATCCTGCAAACATATGCTATGAAAGGCTCGACACGTGCGACGGACATTGGCTCGCCGCTTGCCATCCCCTCCCCCGCCCCCCCCCCCACCATACCAAGGACCTTGACCCAGTGCTGACCTTGCCGGCCGAGCTGGGGAACTGGAAGGGCGGCGGGTTGACCTTGAGCGGGGTGACCAGCGCCGAGACGGGCACCCGCATCTCCTGCAGGATCGTCTCCACCTCCGGCCGGTCTCGCTGCGGGAGGGAGGCCACGTCAGTACCGGCGGGCCGCCACGAATACACACACCGCTTGACGAGCGAGTCCGCACCGACCAATGGAAAACAGGAGGCACGGCACGGCCGTACACAGCTGGGCCGCAGATACTTCACAGACGGCGGGAACGACACGAACGACACAACGACACAGCCGGTAATCGCGACGCCGGGCTTGTGGCTTCGCAACAACACACGTCCGATGTACGAGCAAGGACAGACACAGCACCGCACACACATCCCACTAGAGCAGTGTTATCAAGTAACAACAAACCGGCCAAACTGCTACTGTCAACTAGCGGCTGCAATCCGTCCTCGCGTCTTTCCCCTCCCCCCACTGTTGGGTTTACCCCGCGAGCACGCAGCCACCCGACAGCCGTGCCATTTCCGGCGTCCGCCTCGCACTTTGTGCCGGGTACCCCGGCTCTGGGCGCCAACCAGGGCGCCGAGCCGCCCACCATGGTCCGGTTATCCGGCGGGCGACGGCTAAAGGGCCGGTCTCAACCCTCAGACGTCTCATGTACGTCTCCGTCTGCGTCTCCCAGGGCCGGAGACGGCCGGGTGTCTGGGAACGGGCCGCGCACTGACGGATGCGTTCAGGTGGGCGAGGCCGACTGGTGAGGAGGTGACGGTGAGTCACGGGCGCAGGAGGACGATGGTGGGGAGTCACGTAGTCAGAGGTAGACGAGCAGAGACCTTGAGAGCAAGCGAGCCGGGAAGGTAATGAGCAATGGCCGCGTGCGCACCTAACGGAACCGACAAACTCGAGCCTGGGCGAAACAGAGCGACGAAAGGAAGAGACAAAAGGGGGGGGGGAAGAGTAGAAAAGATAACGAAAAAGAGGGAGGGAGGATGGAGACAGGAGGCAGGAAAGTGGATGCCAACAAAGTAGAGCAGACATACAGAGAAACCAAGGAGACAGAGGGGGAGAGAGGACCAGAGAGAGCGAGTAAGTGAGTGAGTGAGTGAGTGAGTGAGTGAGAAGAGAAAGAGAAGAGAAATAGAAAGAAAGAGAAAGAGAAAGAGAAAGAGAAAGAGAGAGAAGAGAAGAGAAAGAAAGAGAAAGAGAAAGAAAAGAGAAAGAGAAAGAAAAGAGAAAGAGAAAGAGAAAGAGAAGAGAAAGAGAAAGAGAAAGAAGAAAGAAGCGAAGAGAAAGAGAAAGAGAAAGAGAAAGAGAAAGAGAAAGAGAAAGAAAGAGAAGAGAAAGAGAAAGAGAAAGAGAAAGAGAGAAAGAGAAAGAGAAAGAGAAAGAGAAAGAGAAAGAGAAGAGAAAGAGAAAGAGAAAGAGAAGAGAAAGAGAAGAGAAAGAGAAAGAGAAAGAGAAAGAGAAAGAGAAGAGAAAGAGAAGAGAAAGAGAAGAGAAAGAGAAGAGAGAGAGAGAAGAGAAGAGAAGAAGAGAGAAGAGAAGAGAAAGAAAAGAGAAAGAGAAAGAGAAAGAGAAGAAGAGAAGAGAGAAAGAGAAAAGAAGAAGAGAAAGAGAAAGAGAAAGAGAAAGAGAAGAGAGAGAGAGAGAGAGAGAGAGAGAGAGAGAGGAGAGAGAGAGAGAGAGAGAGAGAGAGAGAGAGAGAGAGAGAGAGAGAGAGAGAGAGAGAGAGAGAGAGAGAGAGAGAGAGAGAGAGAGAGAGAGAGAGAGAGAGAGAGAGAGAGAGAGAGAGAGAGAGAGAGAGAGAGAGAGAGCGGGTAGCGGCGCCGGACCATTAGCGTGTGTCCGGACCTGGAACTGGCGACAGCCGGGCGCGGGCAGCGCTGGCGGCCCTGATTGATTGTGGAGCGCGCGCGATCTGAGCCACAGCCAGCCTGAGAGGCGCCGCCGCCGCCGCCGCCGGCCGCCGGTCCGTCACCGGACGACACCGGCCCGCCGGTTGCTGCCCCACGCGTCCGTGCCGGACGCTGGCCGCCGCGCAGCGCACAGGCCCCCGGGCCGAACGGGCTCCGGCTGCAGTGGCGCCGACACCTCAGGTCCTGGTCGGACGGCCGCTGAGGTCCAGACGCGGCGAGGCCGGCCGGGAGTCGCAGTCAGCGCGAGCTCACAGTCATGCGGTTGTGGCCAGCCGTGCATGGCCTCGTGGGGAAACCGGCCGACACCGCGGGTCGGTGGAGCCAACAGAAAATGTCCCGCGGACGTCAGAAGACGAGTATTCATGTCCTTGATTTCCCGGCCGACACCGCGGGTCGGTGGAGCCAACAGAAAATGTCCGGGTGACGTCAGAAGACGAGCATTCATGTCATTGACTTCCCGGCGGACACATTTATTGTTATCCATCACGGAATGAGCGCTAGCCGCTTTTGTTAGACCCGCATGACCTTCCTGACCTTTACACCAATCCAGGCGTTTTCGGCGGTGATAACAGAGTCACGCGAATAAATAAGCACACGCTGCGGTGGAAACGGCCGATAACAGCCGAGCAGCAGCACCATTTTACGACAGCGAACGGTCTGAAGAAGGAATCATAAGTGCCGTTATCACCCAAGCTTATGAGAGCCGCGACCGAGACGTCACTCTTCTCTTGACCTCTTCCACTGATCCACTTCAACATGGCAAGCCGACGGTTCCAAACATCCCGGCTGGTGGCTCCAGTCCGCAACGGCACGTGACACGAAAAGCCAAGTGGAGAGCAGCCAGACCATGCCATCCGTTGCTGTGGACGGCTCTCCTCCGTGTCTCCAGGCCGTATCAGTATCCTAGCGGCGCGGTGGCCGTCAGCTCGTCTGAGACGTCCCGCCAGACCGCGCCGCACGACGGCAGTGAACGGCCGGAAAACGGCCGGCCGCCGCGTCTGGTACGAAGCCGAGCTCCACCATTGCATCAGCCGGCCGGCGGGCGCCCGGTGCCCGCCGGGCAGAGCCGCCGCCGGGCAGAGCGGACGGCGGGCAGAGCGCCGTGTCGGCGGCGTCGCGAGCGCCACGCGCTGCGCCGGCGGCGGGGGCGACGCGGCGCGGCGCTGCCGGCGCGCTCTCGCCCAGCAAGGCGGGGAATGCCCCGGGGAAATCTGCCAAGCAGGCGGGTAAACACGGAGCGCCGGCGGCAGTGGCGGTGGCGGCGGCGGCGGCGGCGGCGGCGGCGGCGGCGGCGGCGGCGGCGGCGGCGGCGGCGGCGGCGGCGGTGGCAGCGGCCGGCGGCGACCCGTTAGCGACCTGTCGCCGACAGGCGGCCGCCAAATTATGCGATTACACACGCAGGGCCGCACGCCGCTGTCGCTGTCGCCGCCGCCGGCGCCGTCCGTCCGTCTGCGGGCTCCAGGGACGGCCGGCGTCCTTTGAAGTCCTCGCAGGTGGCTGATCCCGTGCCGTGCTGGGCCTCCCAGTAGAGGCTCGTCAACATTTACGCGACGTGTCGCCGAGCGAGGCGACATCAAAATCACAGCAGAGTCCGAGCGGTATAACGATCGCCTTGCTTCAGCAGCGCGACACACCTGTCCTGCTATACTTGTGCGCCACACCCCTGCAAACCTGCCCTCCTTCCAGCATGAGCAGCTCACAACCCCCAGCCTGTGTGACTCCTGACGAGTTGCGTAGGAGCCTGGATCAGCCTTCAAGAAACCTATTTCGCCTTTATCAGTATTCCATGCCATTCACTCCGCTGGAAATCTACCCCACATTCCAAAGCAGAGAGCGGGACAAGCGACATTCTTTACATCGAAACCGTCGGTCACCATAATCGAGCTATTCCCCAGCCACGCTCATCTAGCCCCCCTGTCAGGCCCCGCCAGCCTCTGTCCACCGCCCACCTATCGACGCGGCGCCGTAATCAGGCAAATTTATTGAATGGCCCGCCGCGGCACGGCGCGGCCGCCTCCAACGGCGGCAATCGACCACCGGTCCGCGCCGCTACCCGCCGGCGGACAGCTGAATACCCCCAGCAGCGGCCCACTGACCACATAGGCGGCGCGGCGCGGGGCGGGGCCGGCCACCGCCGCACCAGGCCGTGAACCTCCGGCCCTGTCGGCGAGTGGCCCCGTATCGACGCGACGGCGGCCCGGCCGGCGCCGGCGGCGGCGGCCCACGGCAGCCGCCCACCCGAGCAACAGGCGCCGCCCGAGCAACGCAACGGTCCGATCCGGTGCGGTCCGGCGGCGTGCCACGCGGCGGCGCCGGTGACGCGCCGATGTCTGTACCGCAACACCGCGGGCTGGGGATGGGCCCGTGTTTGTTGGCCATGCGTGCCCGGCGGTCCGGCGTCACGGAAGAGCACGCCAGACACACGAGTCCGGCATTCACTATCGACCCCCCAGCCGGCACAGCGGACCGTTGCCACACCTAGCGCGCGGCCGTAGCACTGTCCGTGA